ATCTTTTGATCCATGCAACCAAATTCTACAAATTTACAAAGCAGGAAAAGTTCAACAAAAGCAAATAATGTTTGAAAGTTAAAAAATATCCAAAAAGAACACACCTCCACCCATGCCATGGCGAAGAGAGCTGCTTATTATCCACTTGATATCAAACTATCCAAAAAGCTGCGAGAACGGCCCCCCACCACCCGTGCTTCCTCCCTTTGTCCCGTGGACCAAGACTGGATTAAGATATTTTTCATATCGAATATGACATGGTTTCAGTCAACGGTCTCATCCACAATATTACTCTCTCTGTCCCATAATATAAAAATATTTTTTACACTACACTAGCATAAAAAACACTCTTTTATTATGGGACGGAGCGAGTATCTTGTAAGTTTTTGTAATACAAAAAGATAATCTAATTTTACACAGTATTTCAAGTTTTCTCAGTTTTACTTATAACAAGCCAACTGTGATTAGTTAACACATCATACATTGGCACCAAGAGAGGGGGAAATAGTTCATTTTATTTTGCGGCAAAAACTTCACAACAATGATAATGTGAACATGCTCCACCACAAGTGCACCACACGTCCACACATGCCACACCTACACCAGCTGGCCTCCCAACCACCCGCTAGAACTGACGGATCATGGACACAAAACCTGAATGTTTATTATTTCTCAACGAACACAATCTACACGCACAAATTTGAGCATCCAACACAAAACTTTGATGAGTTCTACTGACGGTCACAAAACCATTACAACACACCCATAAGATAGGGCACTCTGATCAACCAGGCTACCCACAATTAGACCCACACACCTTACTGTACAGTGGACGTTGTTGAGGTTGCCTATACTGTCATCGTCATCACTTCTTCCGAGCAAGCGCCTTCGACTTCACCATGTACGATCTACCAAGAACACACACAACAAGCAACATGCAAGAACCTAGCGGGCTATGACAAACAATGGGCTACACACTTTGAGGACCAAACAACTCCGGCTACGGTCACAAGTCTCGCAGGAGAAAGAAGCACACCTTACAGAAACATAGCCCGACTTGCCCATCCCAAGGCATCGTTGCCAACGCATCGCCCTCCGACTTCATACTTAGAGGCATGCCAAACGGTCGACCATGAAGGACATGCCACGACCATCTTTGTCTTGCCACCCCCATGGTTGCCACAAAAATGCACTTTTTTTTTAAACGAGGCAAAAGATTTGATTTTCATTGATTAAGAAGAAGAGAATTGCCCGGTTAATTGGTGGAAAACCGGGCTAAAACCGATACAACTCAATCCACATGACATGGGCACCACCGGGCAACCTGGCCACCGACATGGAACACAAAGCTGCAAAGAAGAAAGGCATTCGCCGAGGAGTCGCAAGCTTCATCCTCATCACCGGTTGCCTCGAACGAGCGACTCCGACTTCACCATAGAGCTCCAACCTCGAAGCCAACCCGCAAACAGCTGCATAGAAGCCACGACGGCATATGCCACCGGATGGCCACACACGCAAGCAACCGATAGCTCCGACTTTGACGACGAGCCGGACATGCGCCGACTGTGCCCTAAGAGCAACTCGGACACGCCGGGAAGAACCGACTACAGAAGTCCACGCCGCGACCCGAGCTCCTCTCGACGACATCTTTTTTAAGACACGTGTAGAAATGCCCTTCCAAATTCGTGACTATGTCATAACTTAATTAAGCATACGTACAGCTGCATCAGCTTAGACACAAACTCGCGTGATGCGTGATAGCCTAGCTAACACGTACCATCACCTTGACTGGCGAAATAAATATCGCTAGCTGATAAATGCACCCGTGTGCATATGGATATGTCATATTTGTGCGCTTGTGGATATAAGTATACATATATACGTCCATATCTCCATGGAATTTTGCATTCTCTACGACTGAGATGGACGGACAGGAGTACGAAGTGGACTATGTAGCGGCCGTGTTGCAGACGTTGGAACAGAACAGATCCTCTCTCTCTTTTTTTTGGCATTTCCAATACACCTGCATGCAGTCAGTGAAATATTTGTGAGATTGTTTTGGCAGTCAGTGAAAGATTTTTTTTCTATCGTTTGCAAAAAAAAGTCAAGCGCCTGCCAATGCTAATTAATGTAGTGAGTACATTTTTTTGGAGAGTTTAGTTACACTATTAGTACATAAACTTGCACGGTGGGTACAAATTCATATATAAAGTTGTAAAACGACACAAATTAGCCCTATAACTTGTGTTTGAGGTATATTTACATAAATTTCTGTTAGTGGCTGTTAACTCTTTGCTAAGTTTGCCTACGTGGCACGCCAACGAGGCCGGGCCTGCACTCTCTTATTTGTGAGTCCCACCTATAAGTGAGAAAGAGAAAGAAAATATAATGTAGCACTGTTGCTGCCTAAACTCGAACTCAAGAGCTCCCGGTTGGGGCATGTTACATAAATTTCTGTACTAATGGTCAAGAAGTGCAACGCTGAGTGGGCCTTAGAAAAGAAGTGCATTGTGCTCTGAGTGGGCGTAAAGCACTAGTACAGTCAAGTAGTCAACCTATTATGAGATAATGAAAAAACCAGCACAAATTAGGAACTGGCTGGTGTACATCCAACCAAAATGTCAGTGATGGGTTGATAGCGGCCTGCCTCCAAACTAAGACAAGAATTTCGAACCGTGTCGAACTTCCCGCCATTCTGTGTTTGCTTCCTCCTATCGCGTGCAACGGTTGCATGCATGCGTCGTGAACAATCCACCGTCCGCATCGTATCATTTTTCAATTGTCGCCAACAGAATGATAGCTAACAATCAAAGTTAACGGATCCTTCTAAGCGATGCCAATGTTACGGTACACAATATTATGATTGTTTCTCTCTGCACGCTACTACTACACACGCACGGTTTGGGTCTGTATAAATCGACTGAGCAACGATCGAGCAATTCATCCACGCATATACACACGTGCACACATATAGATATTCACTCTTCAAGAGTGGTTACAATTTGGTCGTTAACGAACGATGGGATATACTTGTGCAGGAGCGGCCTCGGTGGGCGTGTGCTACGGCATGAGCGCCAACAACCTGCCGCCGGCGAGCACCGTCGTCGGCATGCTCCGGGACAACGGCTTCAACTCGGTGCGTCTCTATGCACCGGACAGTGACGCGCTGGCGGCACTCGCCGGCACCGGCATCGGCGTCATCGTCGGGGCGCCCAACTACGTTCTACCCGAGCTGGCCGCCAGCGCGTCCGCGGCGGCCGCGTGGGTCCGCGCCAACATCGCGGCACACCCAGATGTCTCCTTCCGGTACCTCACCGTGGGCAACGAGGTGGCCGGCAGCGACACGCAGTACCTGGTCCCAGCGATGGAGAACGTTCAGGGCGCGCTCGCCGCGGCCGGGCTGGGCGACGCCGTAAAGGTCACGACGGCGATATCGCAGGCCACCATCGCGGTCCACGTGCCGCCATCGGCCGGCGAGTTCGCCGACGAGTCCAAGCCGTTCCTGCTTCCCGTGCTGCAGTTCCTGGAGCGCACCGGCGCGCCGCTCCTGGCCAACCTGTACCCGTACTTCGTGTACACGTACAAGGCCGCTGGCGACATGGACGTCAGCTTCATGCTGTTCACGGCGCCGGGGACGGTGGTGCAGGACAGCGAGTACGGGTACCAGAACATGTTTGACGCGAGCGTGGACGCGGTGCACGCGGCGGTGGAGCGGCTCGGGGTGAGCGGCGTCGACGTGGTGGTGTCGGAGACCGGGTGGCCATCGGCGGGCGGCGAGGAGGCGTCGGTGGAGAACGCGAGGACGTACAATCAGAACCTGGTGAGCCACGTGGGGAAGGGCACGCCGCGGCGGCCGTGGAAGGTGGAGACGTACGTGTTCTCCATGTTCAACGAGAACCTCAAGGAGGCCGGCGTGGAGCAGAACTGGGGGCTCTTCTACCCCACCACCGATAGGGTGTACCCCATCACCTTCGGCAAGTGAACTTCATTGAGTTCGTGCGTCGTCCATCCATGTACACTGTCATGGTCATAGGCATGTATATATACCGTATATATATTTACTGAGTGTGTATTTGTGTGGCTGATTTTTAACATTTTATTTAATTATATATTGACTATTCATTCTGAGTCGTTGGAAGTTATAAAAACTAGTCTGCACACGGGCTAGCCATATTTTAGAGAGATGTATATGATTTGTAATTCTACTACAAAAATCATAACCATTAATAAGTCTCCTCGCCTCCTTCTCCAAGAAAGAAAGTTTGGGTTCGTGCCTCTCGCCGGCGCCGATGCAGGTCCACCTCATCTCCGGTGGCCCTAGGGCCATGGATCGTGGTGGTTCCTGGCAAGGGCCGGCGGGAGGGCTTCGTTTTTAGTCGTTTTTTTCAATCTTGCTAGGGTTTGTGTCCTGCTCAGGAAGGTGAGACGGCGGTGGCTCCCTGAAGATGGAATAAAGGTCTCTCGCCTAGCCCCCGTTCCGACAGTGCATCTAGCATCGTTGGTGGGCATGTGGAGGTGTGTCTCCGGCAGATCGATCTTTGATGAATTTGCTCGGATCTCGTCGTTGTTTGTCAACGTTCGTGTGTCTTTGGTTTGGATCCTTCCGATCTACGTTATTTTTTATCGGCGACGGTTGCTGTTCTGGGTGTTGGTCCTATGGGGCCTTAGCACGACGACTTTTCGACTGTCTACCACAACAAGTTGTGTTCGACTCCAGCGATGGAGGGGTGATGATGTCGGCGTGCCTTCGGCTCGCTTCAGTGCTTGTAGTCGTCGCTGGGTGGTCTACGGATCTGGATGTAATTTTTATTTTTGGTGTTCGTTGTACTGCCATTATTGAAGATGAATAGATTGAAAACTTTTCCGAAAAAAATCTACTACAAAAGGCCTATGCATTGCAACGAAAGAAAACAATACCACACGCTCATAACCCAATAATCAAGAGCTTATGCGTTGCAGTGGGAGAAAATGGGAGAAAAATGATACCAGCTTCCTTTCTATCAACAATATGGAAATCAAACCTTTGCAACAAAAGAACTCACATAATTAACTTAGAATTCTTCCTATCCATAAGTTATTTAATAGCAGAATGATCAGTGTGAATTGTAACCTAAGAGTCAACAATATAATGTCTGAATTTATCACATGCAAACACAACTGGTAAAAATTCTTTCTCAGTAGTCGCATAATTTTTTGAGCACTATCCAAGGTCTTTCTAGCATAATGAATAATATTTAATTTCTTATCAATTCTTAGACCAAGAAAAACACTGATAGCAAAATCACTAGCATGACACATAATTTCAAAAAGTAATTTCAATTAGGTGGATGAACATTAGAAGCAGTTATTAAGGCTTTCTTAAGCATTTAAAGGCTTCTACGCAATAATCATAAAAAATAAATGGAATATCTTTTTAGAAAAGATCAGTAAGAGACCTATTTTTTTAGAAATTTCCTTAATAAATCTTCTATAGAAACCAGCATAACCAAAACAACTTCTTATACCGTTAATATCTTTAGGCCATGGCATTATTTCAATATATTTAGCATCAATTTTAGCTTTATCTGCCTCAATGCCTCTTTAAGAAATCTTATGACCAAGAACTATACCTTCGTTTACCATGAAGGGTCACTTCTGCAATTGAAGACAAATTAGTTTCTTCGCATCTCTGCAAAACTCTATCAAGATTGCTCAAGCCATCATCAAAAGAAGTTCCGTATACGAAAATAATAATTCATGAAGACCTCAACAATTTTCACAAAAATAAAAAATATAGCAGTCATGCAAAACTCTAAACATAAGGACGACCCAGATTAGCCCTTTCTCTTCATAAGAAGAAAGGGTATGATAGTCATATCCTATATAATTAAGAAGTTCACCGTCACTACTTGATTTATCTCAACATGCAGCATAGACATATAAGCATCAAGTCACGCGAAGCCACGTCACACCTTCATGCGGTCCCACCTTCTGATGTCCCTGGAAGAAAAAACAAAATATACCCCAATCTTTCCCCACGCCCTGCTCGGGCTCCTCCACCCGCTGTCAGCCTCCCTCACCAAATCCACCTCCTCACCCTGTTCCTCCACCCCGAATCGTCCTTGCGGCGGCGGCGCTCCGGACCCTGCCATCCCCATTGCCTCGAGCTCCTGCCACCGCCAGCCTTCGTCGCCGCTGGTCAAAGCCACCTCATTATCCCCTTCCTCGGCTCCGGATCCTCCTAGCGGTTGCGGCGCTCCGGAGGGGGCCATTCCCATCGTCCGTCCCAGTTCCTGCGGCATCCAGCAGGATGATGCGGTGGATGCGACCATCCCCCTCCTCGCGCGACGCCATGCGCATTGCCCGACGGGAGCATCCCCGAGCAGCACCTATCGGATGGCTCGGGAAGGAGCAGCTTGCGGCTCGCCGGTCTACCACTGGCCCCTCGTCTTGCCTCTTCGTCGATGCCATGCCCATGGCCAGACGGGAGCATCCCCGAGCAGGCCCTCTAGTGCCCCCTCGCGCCTCCATCCTCGCCTTCCTTGCCGCGACCAGCCTCCGTTCCAGTGAGATTAGCTTAGAAGAAGAAGCTCGCAGTACAATACCTACCAATGCCCTGTTAATGTGGGCATGCCTTCCCCTTATTGTAATTAGGATGGTTTCTTATTCATGTGATGTCTATGATTTTTGCTTGTGTTCGTTTCCAGGTGGTTTGTGATATGCTCTTTTCTTCGCGCTTGAATTGTAGGGTCAACGCACTATTTACTCACACCAACCTACCCAGCCCATTGCTTCAAACCATTTGCAGCCTAATGTTCCAAATGGCCCACACTAAAGGTAAGAAAAAACCCTTCCGCTGCAGGTAATTGATGATTGAGGCTACACTTCCTCTTCCCACGATCTGCACAAGAAACCGAAGAATTCCCCTTTAAAGTCTACCCCACCTCAGCTCATCCTTTTCACATCATCTTCTAGCATGGGTGAACGTCTGCCATAGGGTGTTCATATTGCCCACGGCATCGCCCTTCTTCTCCTACCTAATCCTATTCAGCATCACCCAGTCCATCATGATCTTCATCACTGGTACGTGTCTCTTGTGCCTCACCCGCCATAAATCGGCATTTGCCACTGGCTCGACCTGAACTATCTCTCTCACGGGATACGTGTTTGTAGGTACAAAGACAATCGGTTGGACATGAAGTAGCTAGTGGGGTCCAGGGGATGCCATCGTTGCAGTCGGCCGTCGTCACATCACTCGCCATTGTCATCCGCTTACAAAGAGGGTTCATCAGCCCCCTTGCTACTTCTTGAACTTGCGTTTGTTTTTCCCTTGAAGAGAAAATGGTGATGCAACAAAGTAGAGATAAATATTTCCCTCGGTTTGAGAACCAAGGTATCAATCCCGTAGGAGACAACACACAAATCACCGAATACCTTCACAAACAATCAAACAAACTTGCACCCAACGCGATAAAGGGGTTGTCAATCCCTTCACGGATACTTGCAAAAGTGAGATCTGATAGAGATAGATAAACGATAAAGTAAATATTTTTGATATTTTTGGTTTACAGATAGGAAAGTAAAAGATTGCAAGAATAGTAGATCGGAAACTTGTATGATGGAAAACAGAACTTATATGATGGAAAAGAGACCCAGGGGCCATATGTTTCACTAGAGGCTTCTCTCAAGATAGAAAATAATACGGTGGGTGAACAAATTACTGCCGAGCAATTAATTGATAGAAAAGCGCAAAGTTATGATGATATCTAAGGCAATGATCATGAACATAGGCATCACGTCCGTGTCAAGTAGACCGGCTCCTGCCTACATGTACTACTATTACTCCACACATCGACCGCTATCCAGCATGCATCTAGAGTATTAAGTTCATAAAGAACGGAGTAACGCATTAAGTAAGATGACATGATGTAGCGGAATTAACTCAAGCAATATGATGAAAACCCCATCATTTTATCCTCGATGGCAACAATACAATACGTGTCTTGCTACCCCTACTGTCACTGGGAAAGGACACCGCAAGATTGAACCCAATGCTAAGCACTTGTTCCATTGCAAGAAAAACCAATCTAGTTGGCCAAACTAAACCGATAGTTCGAAGAGAATTACAAAGATATCAAATCATGCATATAAGAATTCATAGAATATTCAAATAGTATTCATAGATAAGCTAATCATAAATCCACAATTCATCGGATCTCGGCAAATACACCACAAAAAGTTATTACATCGAATAGATCTCCAAGAACATCGAGGAGAACATGGTATTGAGAATCAAATAGAGAAAAGAAGCCATCTAGCTACTAGTCCGTAGGTCTGAGGTAAACTACTCATGCTTCATCGTAAAGGTAATGGTGTTGGTGTAGAAGCCCTCCGTGATCGAATCCCCCTACGAGAGGACGCCAGAAAAGGCCCCTAGATGGTATCTCATAGGTACAGAAGGTTGCGGCGGTGGAAAAGTGTTTTTTTGGATGCCTCTGGTTGTTTTGGGGTATAAGAGTATATATCGGTGAAAGAATTAGGTTAGGAGACCCACGAGGGGCCAACAAGAAAGGGGGGCACGCCCTACCCCCCCAGGGCGCGCCATCCACCCTTTTGGCCACCTCGAGGCTCCTCCGACTTCATCTCCAAGTCTCCTTGTTTGCTTTTGGTCCAAGAAAGATCATTGCGAAAGTTTTATTATGTTTGGACTGCGTTTGGTATTTCTTTTCTACAAAACTCTAAAACAGGAAAAAAACAGGAACTGGCACTGGGTTCTATGTTAATAGGTTAGTCCCAAAAATAATATAAAATAGAATAATAATGCATATAAAACATCCAAATTAGATAATATAATAGCATGGAACAATAAAAAATTATAGATACGTTTGATACGTGTCAAGCATCCCCAAGCTTAATTCCTGCTTGTCCTCAAGTAGGTAAATGATAAAAACAGAATTTTTGATGTGGAATGCTACCTAACATATTTATCCATGTAATTTCCTT